CTCTCTCTCTCTCTCTCACGCACACACACACACTCTCACTCTCTCACACACACACACACACACACACACACACACACACACACACACACACACACACAAAGTATGAGTCATGTTCAGTAAATTCGTGAGTACGTGTATAAGGCTCCCAAGAGAAAGACATAAATACATAAAATAAAAGCAGACGTCAAGAATAACACCATTGAATAATTGATATGTAAGAAGACGATACAACAAAAGCAAGTCAAAAACATTTGGGTTTTGAGCGACAACCTCAAAGACTCTCGTTTTGTCTGCAGCTGATCAGAGAAACACAGATTCCTGCTGGTGATTTGACGCTTCAGTATCTTTCTATCTGATGGGTTTATTACTGTGTCACAACCGAATGAAAAATACTCAGTTTGAGCTGCTTTCATTTAGAAATGTTTCATCTTCAATTAAATATTAACATTTTGGCTTCTCTCAAATATTGTTATTTGATATACAGTCATCTCTTCAGGTCTTTAAAACGAGCAAATCTCAGAGGTTTATTCACAAACATTTATCAGACATTCAACCTGGAACAATGTGGTTGCAATACCACGTATATACACAAGCTTTACCCCTTGTGGGTCAAGTTTAAGAAGGCGAGCCTCAAGAAGCTCCAGGTTGCATATAATGACTGTTTGCGTATACTGCTTAGAAAACCAAGGTGGTGCAGTGCAAGTGAAATGTTTTGTAATGCATGAGTCAACATGTTCCATGCTCTCTTGAGAAATCTGATGTACAAATTCATCTGTTGATTGAATGTTTCTCATAACTCTGTCATCATGCTGCTTTCAAATCTGTGTCTCAGTGCTATACGATACCAGTCACCTCTGTGGAAACATTGGTATAACTGCCTTTTTTAATTTATATTTGAGTGTTGTATGTCTTTTAACACTAGAACCGCCAATCGGGTCAATTTGTGTGATGTGTGTTGTGTGTGTGCGATGTAACTTTTTTTCAATAAAATATTAAAGTCTCCCAGTCCGTGACTTTTCCTGAAAGTGTGTTATGTAGCACCCTATGTTGTTAAAAATTGCATTCTAATAGCGGGATTTGACGGGTTTAGGTAGGCCTATAAACCTCTGGCGGTTCTAGTGTTAATAATAGACCAAGAGTCTCTTCAAATAAAAGCTGATGATGATGAATACATGCTTTTTTCATGGAACAAAAAAGGCCTTTATGCACCTATGCCAAGCGCATACTGCAATTCAATAAAACCATCCAATTCAGTGCAATATCAGTTGACTAGAATAATCTGAAGTTATAGTATGACAACATGGTGGATTCTAAATAACACACAAAGAGGTCTTGATCAAATTGAAAGCAGTACCTTTCAAGCTATTATAATAAGAATATGTAAGGATGAGTGGAAAGCAATACGATATTCCAATACAAAACGGAGGATTAAACTAGCGATATTCCACTAAAAATATTTGAGGATAAGGAGAAACCATTCATTTTGTACGTCATTCTCTGCTGGTAAAACACATCAGTTAATGGTTGAGAGTATTGACTCATCTTTTCTCTGAGTGCAGCTGGGATTATTCTCGCGTTTCTCTTCTTGTCCTCATGATGGCGCCGTTTGCTCAGTCTTCCGTCCTGCACCAGCACCTGCTGAAACAGGCCTCATGTGAGTGGTCTGCTCCATTTATAACACATGATGTTTAAATTGTGCTCCTCGCAGGAATCACGCCCCACCATGAAGAAGTTGTGGATAGGCCCCTCCGGCGGTGACTGGCTCTGGGCGTCATTTTGCGTCAGAGTAAACAAAACGCTGACGTGAATCTCTCTTTGGAAAACTCTTCAATCGGTTTGTGAGCTATAGGATTCAGTGAACAGAGCTGAATGAAAAGGTGCATTCACCTCCAGTTGGTGATTAAAGAGAGGGATCGTGCAGGCATACCAAAATAGATTTTTACTCAGGCGTCAACCCTTTCAAAGTAAAAGCATCTAACTTGCATCCCACACACACTGCTGTAATGCATTCGTTTTATATGCCATGAATATTAATGCCAAGTATATGCTTAACTAAGATATTATATGACTGTATTATTAGCAAATAATAAATAGCATATTAAAGAAAAGCCAAAGCGTGAAGACGCTCAATTAATTGCCAACAATGTGCCAATTGAGGCTTCATCAGGGAGAATTAGGCCCAAATGCTTCTTGGTTAATTGCCACATGTATACCAGTATAGCTACGAGCTTTTTCTCAAGTTATTCGTTTGAATGTATCAATCAGTGCATTATGCCAATTTCAGAACAATGTTGGGAAAATGAGTGGATCGTTTTTAAAGCCACGTAGGCTGATAGCTCTCTGAACCGGCATCCTGCGTCACCAGCTTCAAATCAGATTACGTGCCTCGTTTATTTCAACAATCCAGCGGATAGGAGGCCTTAGTGCTGTCATTGCACCGCCATTAAAACCACCCCCTCGATATCCAGTCAACAATTGTTGGAAATGATTAGAAAGTGACTGTAAATAGAGAATTTGAGACCTTTGTTTTCAGCACTGGACAGCTCCTGACTCCCCAGAGGCCTTGAACTTGGTCTGTAGATGTCTGATCAACAAAAAAACACCCAGTCACATAATACCAGCAAAACAAGCAAAGACGATCACTTCCCATCCCTGTCATAATCACAAAACCCTAATTGGACTTATTGGTGATGCGGTGAGGGAAGTATTGATCTGAAATGGTCGTCACACCATCCCGTGCAAAGCTCATGAAAGCATTCACACACATTTCAGTTTTTTTTTTTTACCACATTCTTTTGTTTTAAAAGAAATAAAGTTTTAAANAGAGAGAGATCTTATTTCCCACAGGGGGGGCTAGGGAGACCTGCCCTGGGTGCCTGGGTGGAGCTTGCAGAGCCTCCTGCACAGTGCATTTAAAGTCAGACTGACTTTAAATGCACTGTGCAGGAGGCTCTGCAAGCTCCACCCAGGCACCCAGGGCAGGTCTCCCTAGCCCCCCCTGTGGGAAATAAGATCTCTCTCTCACTCACACACTCACTCACTCACTCACTCACNGCAGGTCTCCCTAGCCCCCCCTGTGGGAAATAAGATCTCACACACACACACACACTGTGTGTGTGTGTGTGTGTGTGTGTGTGTGTGTGTGTGTGTGTGTGTGTGTGTGTGTGTGTGAGATCTTATTTCCCACAGGGGGGGCTAGGGAGACCTGCCCTGGGTGCCTGGGTGGAGCTTGCAGAGCCTCCTGCACAGTGCATTTAAAGTCAGTAGGGGTCAGCAAACCACTTTGAATAATTCTTATAAGGTCCCACACATGTTGATCCTGCAGTGCTGTAATATTCTAGTAGATTTGTTTCCACTTGTTTAAAATGCACATTTAGCACGATCTTCCCTACCCCAAAACAGCCCATTAGGCCTATGTGTTAATCATATAACTGTCAAAAGCAATAATATGAGCCCAAGCCCACTATATTTTCCCTTTTGGAAATGTTATAGGGCGGACAGATATTTAATAGTAGGCTATCATACTGTTAACTGCAGGATTATATGTAATGGTAATCTGAGGATATTAAAAGAGTCCCATTATTTTTTCACACAACGAGGGCGCCAGATGCCTGCAACATTGCGAATATGAGTTCAAAGGTTAACACAGCGTCGCTTTTGATGTCTAAATTCACAGTTTAAAAGTACATTTTACATGGTTTGATATAGTGACAAAATTAAATCAGTTTTGTCTTTTTGGTACTGAGCCAGATGGTGGATTGTGCTTCAATCGGCGTCAGTGATGTCGGCCATATTGGACACAAGGGAAAAACCATTCAATAGGAGATCATGTGGCGTTCAAGGGTCATCGAAAAAAGTCAAACATGATGTTATAAACCCACATTACAACCTTAATTTATACAGTGTATGAATAAAACCTAGTCAAATTAGCAAAACGTTCTCAAGATTTTATTTTGTAAGTGTTCCTGGATAATGTTTTTATTTTTTTAATATATTTTTTGCAAAACATTTACATCATTTTGGATCTATGCTGAGACAAAAAAAAGTGTCAATTATTTCAGATTTTTATTTTTTACACTTTTTAGACAAAACAAGAAGTGAAAATAATAATAACCACTTTTCCAGCACTATTTTCAAAAAATACTTTTTATTATTTAGGTGATATGCCTATCTTTTAGTTGCTGATTCCCAAACTGTAGGTCTGGGTGAAGGTTCATGGGATATTTTAGAAAATATCACAAAAACAAGGACACAAAATATGGTAATCGCTTCGGATGTTCTTG